GAGAATGGTAATTGTCAGAGGCTGGTGGGGAAGAGGCGTGTGGGAAGTGACTGTTTAATGGGGACAGAGTTTCAGTTTTGCAAGATGATAGAAGTTCTATGCATGGATGGTGGTGATGGTTGCACTGCAATGTGAATGTACTTACTACTGCTGAACTGAACACTTAAAAATGGTTAAGGTGATCAATTTTGTGTTATGCTATTTTACCACAATAAAAAAAAAGAGGGGAGGAGGAAAGGTCCCCAGCACTGATCATCAGGAATAAATCTTTTCTAAAAAGTATTTCATTTATTTACTTTGTTTTGGGGGGAGATAATCATGTTTATTTACTTATTTATTTTAATGGAGGTCCTGGGGATGGAACCCAGGACCTCGTGCACGCTAAGCATGTGATCTACCGCTGAGCTATTCCCTGCCTACTAGGACTAAATTGTGAACTGGTCTGACAACCACCCTGACGGTCCCCCACCAAGCCCCAGACCGTTGCTCCCCTTCCTCGGGTGAATTTATTGGGCTTTGCAGAGACGGCTAGGATGTGCCTTTTATCTCTGAGAGTCTAGCAGTCGGAGACTGGTTTTCAAATCTGGCTACATGGTAAAGTCACCTGGGGAGCTTGGGGAAAATCTTAATGGCCAAGCCTGAGTCCCAGAAATGCAAATGAAATTGGTTTGGGGTGGGGCTCAGGCATCGGTAGCTTTTACAAGCTCAGTGATGAAGCTGTCGTGCAGGCAGGACTAGGTACCACTAATATGAGACTCTCATCCCCCAAGCCCTTCCAGCTTCAGTTTGAGAAGTCTCCCTGGCTCCCTGCCCAGGCTATCTGATTGAGGTGGACCTGGTCCTTTCTGTTTCCTCCACAAAGACCCGCGGATGGCCTGGAGGGGCCCACGCTGGGCATCGTGAAGCTTTTCCAGATGCTGCAGCTGTGAGAACACACCAGGTCCTGGAGCCGAGTCTGGTGGCACCAGTGAGGCCTTAGCACACCCCTCAGTGACATGCCCTGGAGCTCTAGATTTGATCCATGTGGGCCACTGTCCCCAGCCCCTAATTTGGAGAGTGATGGGTTTTGTGCTGGGCATGCGGGACAGGAACTGGGAGAGTATGAAGATGCTCCTCCCATTCATACATCCTCATCCCTTTGCCATCCAGACTCCCATGGTGACGGATGGCAGGAAGCCCCAGCCTGGGGCTAATGGTTCACAGAGGGGGCTGACAGCCAAAGACCAGCCAGTAACAAAGGGCCTTTTGACTTTCCAATCCCAATGGGAAGCCTCGATGATTCCAGTAAGTTTGTTTTCCTAAAACTCTCTCTCCTTGGGAACAATTTAAAAATCCCAGCACAGCCAAGGGAAGCCAAAAGAAAGGGAGGCATTGTCACGGGGTGATGAATAACCCCCACAACAAACTAAGGCCATATTTATTACCTGTAAGCTTGTTAGCAAGGGAGAAACAGCCAGGTTGCTGGTGGCTTCAGCTCGTGCTCAATTACTGTGGCGTGAAGGGGCTGGGGACAACTGCTCACAAAGCTGGGGTCAGAGCGGGGCCCTGTCGTTATTTCAAGAAGGTGCCTGGAGGCGGCAGGGTCACAGGAAGCATCTCTCGCTACGGGGCAGAACTGAGGTGCTCAGAGCCGAACTCTCCTTTCTCTGCCTAGGTGAGCTGCACGGACCTGGGTAGTTTGCAGTCCAACAATGTTTAATTGGCTGAATTACGGGCAGTTAGCACAGCCCAGAACAGACCAAAACAACAGCAACAAAAACACCCAGACAACCAAAGGCCAACATTCACAACCTGGAAAGCAGCCTCAGGAACGAACGGATAAACATGAGCACAAGTCACCTCTGCGGAATCAACATGCTGTTTTGATGGCTTTTAGCTCGATAAAATCATCGCAGAGGGAGGGTACAGCGCAGTGCTAAAGCACGTCCTTAGCATGCACAAGGTCCTGGGTTCAATCCCCTGTACCTCCACTAAAAAATAAAATTAAATTAAAAAATTAATTAAAAAATACATAAACCTAATTACCTCCCCTTACCAAAAACAAAAATAAATCATTAGAGATCCAGAGGTCAGGCCAGGCCCACTGAGAGCCCCGGCGTCTCCATGGCCAGTTTCTAAGCCCTAGAAGGGAGGGAAATGGGTCCGGGTAGCTTCTCACCAAAAGGCAGCGCTCACCTTACGGGAGAAGGTTGCAGCTCAGCTCAAAAAGCGTATACTCACTGTTGGGTGCGTGTATCCCGTCCTATATGATGTGTCTTTGATGCACATCCTCCTGATGACCACAGGAGGTGGACACGGACACAAGTCAGGGCACAGAGGCTCTGAGCGGCAAATGGACTATCTTGAGTGGTGGTCTTGGGACTGAAACTCAGGTCTGCTGGCTTCACAGCCTGCGTCCCCTACCCCAGAGTTTGTCACGCACCACAGCACGTGCACCCGTCACCCAAGTTATTTACAGAAACAGACTCCAGGGCTACCCCCTAGCATCTGAGTCCATACGTCAGAGGAGAGCCTGGGTATCTGCATTTCTGCAAGATTGCTCTGTGGCTGCAGACTTTCCGATGGTGGATCCTGGTAAGAATCACAGTTTTGTTTTTTTTTTTGCAGGGAGGAGGTAATTAGGTTGGTTTGTTTGTTTATTTATTTTGATGGAGATATGGGGGATTGAACCCAGGACCTCGTGCATATGAAGCATGTGCTCTACCCCTTGAGCTACACCCTCCCCAAGAATCGCAGTTTCCGTGACTGCCCAGTAGCCAGCCAGGCAGACCCACATATGCACAGACAGCCACTGAGTCAACACAAATGAAAAATGTCTTTAAAGCCCTCTGACATTCAGGAAGATATTCTACTCCATTTCATTTTTAAAAAGCTCTCTGTGACCCATGAAACTGATTTCATGGCCCACTAACGAATGTCAATTGCAGTTTGCAAACACTGCCCGGGATCATTCTGAGGCTCTGGGGTAGAGCCTGTGGCCTCTCTCTTGCTGCCTCCTACTCAGCTCAGAGATGGGTGGTTGGTAGCTTAGTCAGGGGTCAGGGAAAGGTGGCCACACGCCCTAAGAACAATAGCAAATTGCTTTGTATTTTTCTTTGACGTTTAATCTCGCACAGTGGCTCACCACACCTCTATAAGGCATCCGCTCCATTTTACAGGAGTGTAAAGTGAGGCTTGGGGCGTGCGGGGAGGCACATGTGTTCTGCCCACAGTTACAGAGCTGGGATGTGGGGAGGCAGAACTGGAACCAGGCTCCGGGGCTCTGACAGTTCTCTGCAGCAGCAGCACTCTCGGGAGAGAAAGCATTTGTTTTTGTGGACAGAATGCAGGTATTTGATTTCCATGAATAAAACCCTGCCTCTCTCCCTATCTCTCAGTCTTCCACCTCCTCCTTCCTCTCGCAGTGGCAGAAGGACTTTCCTATTTGTATTTCAGCTCTTCTGTATGTAAAAGAGAGAGGCTGCTGAGGTCCCAGTCAGCCTTTGCTAACAAAATCAAATCCCCTGGCTTTCTCCGGCAGCTGGAGCCAGGGCTCGTAATCTACGGCTGCTTAAGGGAACAACTTTCTGGCGAAGGGAGCAAACATGCAGTCTGTTTTAATTGTGGCTAAACCGTGCACCCCAGGATACTCCAGCAGGAACAGGAAAATCCCAGATTTGGGTGTGCGACCCTGAGGATTAGTGTCAGATACATCAAATTCTTTCTTCCCCCTCTTTTGCTGGCACGTGTCAGGTCTGAGCACTCCTCCAGAGACCTTTCGAGATGAGCCAAGCCAGGAAGATTCAGTAACAGACTTCAAAAAAAACCCAAAAAACCCACAAACCAAAACCCACCACAATTCTGTTTTGTTCCAGGGTATGCACGTGGCCCCAGTCAGGGACAATTAATTTGGATTATGTAAGAGCATCGCTCCATGGATGTCCCTCTTTGAATCCTGTCCTGCGTGCTCACTGCACCGGGAAGGTAGATGACAGATTTTTGTTGACAGTGGGGGTGGATGTGATGGCTGTTCTCTGCCCTGATACAGTATTGACGGCAGGATCCAGCATTAGTCAGCGCCCATCGTTGGAGGGGATGCGTTAATCTGCCAACACTTGGGGGCTGACCGCATGCTCTGTATGGAGAATAGCAGGAGATGCCAAAGAAATGTCAAAAATGTCCCTGTCCCAGTTGTCCTTCTAATTAAAACGTGGCTATGCCTGTCTTGTTCCCTGTTGCACCTCAGTCCTAGCACAATGCTGGGCGTGCAGTACACGCTCAGTAAACAGACTGAATAAATGCATAAAGAGCTTTACTACGAGCAGCATTTCCCCAAGTGGGTTCCGTGGCGTGTCGACAGCTACGACCTGGGGGCATGTGGGGGGAGGGAGGGCACTAACACACAAATAAGTCTGCTTAACAAGGCTTGCTTGTTGTAGACATTATCTGACGTGTCAAAGTGCATTGTAACTCTCTCAGGGGGAAGCAGATCTTTCCCCAAATTTATTTCATGACACATGTCCTTTCTCATAGGAATGGTGGCCTTTGGGAAATGCTGTGAAACCGAGATCCTGACGCTCACCTCCTGTCCGTCCTGCATAAATCGAGGGGTTAAAGGGAACAACAGGGGTGAGATGAGGATGCTGGGTGGCTGGCTAGGCTCGCTCCCGGGCTCATCGACTCCCAGCCAGACCAGTGTTGTGTCCAGGGAGCGCACGTCACGGATTTGGTTTGGGAAGTCCAAGAAATGTAGACACGGAGAATGTTGAGGCCAGGGTTCAGCTTTCTGCTGTCTATGTTTTTCACATGCCTGGATCCAGCTTCCCCAGATGTCATGAGGACAAGCCTGTCCCAGCAGATACGGCCGTGCACTCAAGTCTTAGGGAGGCGCAGGTGTCTGACCGAGTGGTCCCACCGCACGGGTTATGAAAGCCCATGCAGGGGGCGGAGGGGAAGGTGCTTGCACACGAGGGGCCAGGACCACACCCCGAGGCTTCCCAGCAGCGGCAGAATGGCTTTACCTGAACAAAGCTGAACTCTCGCCAGTTGAGTGAGTTTGCAACAGAAGGTAGTGAGGTGACAGCCAGCAGGGACAGCGTGCCGAGGGCCAGCACTCCCAGGGACAGGTAGATCTCCATTCGCCAGACTTCCTCCTCTTTCCAGAGGTGACTCTTATTGGCCAAGACCTGACGTGGAGGGAAGGAGAACCGTGAATGCCATGGCAAAGGTCGGTGCCCTGGGATGTGGGTGAGCGCAGATGTGAGGATGGGAGAAACACGGTCACAACCAACATTTCCCCTCCTGTAACGTGTGCTTGGCTCTGTTCTGGGTGCTTTTCAAAGACATAGGCTCCCTCCCAACACCTTTCACAAAGCTGCCCGGAGCCAGCCAACCAGAAGTGTCACCGAAGCCAAGAGTAAAGAGCCAGAGAATTCAATGAGACATAAAGAACCTCCAGACATGACCCATCTCACACGGTTTTTTGGTCCCAAAAGCCCCAGGAGGAGGGAAGAGTCTCCTAGCTCAGAATCCCTCCAGCCAGACAGGTTCCTGCCTCCGCTGCCAACCTCCCCTCCCAGCTGGTCTCATCCGGGACCCTTGGTCCCCCAAGCTGCCCCTGTCCCTGGCTCCTCTTCCAGACATACACGGACACCAAACCCTTCAACATCTCCTAACTCAGAGCCCCCAGCACCCATCTTTCCACCCAGTTCACCATTTCTGTCTGAGGAATAGAGCTTCAGCTCAACCACTGCCAGGCAACAGAGGCTGACATCCATCTACCGGGCAGACCTGTGAGCTCTTATGAAGCACCTACTGTGTGCCGTGCTGCAGAGAGCAAGGATACCTGCCCTTACAGAGCTCTGGGATTTCCCACCAAGCTCCAGGGACACACCCATCGGGGAGCCCCTGTGGGCCCAGAGACTTCCACTCCCTCCCTCCCTCCCCACTCCGATTGCCCTTGATCTGAGCCCCCTCCCAGCCTGGCCAACACATGCTCGTACAGTGCACGCATGAGGAAGAGCTTTTATCAAGGTCCTTCTACTGGAACCATCATTGCCCAACTAGACCAGGTAACTGAGTTCCTAGAAGTCAAGGTGTTCTCTGAGAAACACTAGGAAACACTGGCACTTCAATTCTACCAGCAGAACAAGGCACAGCATTTCCATTAGGAAATGTGACCACTCTGCTTTGCCAAACAGAATGACTCATACAGGTTTTTTGAGACACTACTTCAGCAGGAAAAAAAAAATCACCCAAGTGCTATTACCAGATAGCAGATTCAAAATGAACCTAGTGAGCTGAGCAAAACTGGTTTGCAAGCTTCTGAGAGAAAGCTGAAAGAAACCGAGAAGATGCCATCCTTGGGCACTCTCCTGCAATTTGAGGAAAACAGCGGCCTCTGTTCGATTTCAGGGCGGGCTGGCTCATGCTGGTGTCTTTCAGCCACAGAAAGACCAGGAGTCCGGGGACCCAGGTTCTCACCCTGACTGCGAGTTGTATGAGACTCTGGGTTTCCTCTTCTCCACCGACAGAGCTGGAAGAGATCATGTCTGAAATCCTAGGATTTTGCTTGCGGACAAAGCGACCGTCAGCATCATTTGTGGGGGTGGGGGGTGGGGAGCGGGGATTACTCCGCGGAGGGCAGGGAGGTCTGAGCGTGGCTGAGCCCAGAAGAGGCTCACACCTTCCGAGCATTCACAGCTGCTGCTCAGTAAGTCATCTCCTCCTTGCAAGTTGTTTGTTCTTCCAATATACTTCATTAGTCACTCCTTTCTGCATTTTGGTAAGACAAGGCATTTTAATGTCACAAGTTGAGATGATTACACACACGTACCACACTTGCTTGCAAAATGTCCTGTTTTTTTCCGCTGTTATTTCCACTCTGCAGCAATGGTGGGAAGGGAAGGGGTTGGGTGAGGTGGGCAAGGGATCAGTGGGTGGTGAAGAACCTGCATGAGCATCTGTAATCCTGGGGCAGCCTGGGGTAGTCTCACCCAACTGATTGAACTTCAGGGCTGTACTCAGGGCTCCCCCATGACCAGTGTCACACGCAGTGAACTGGGTGTTGATTTAACAGCTCTCTACCCTCCTCGTGATCCTCCCGTGTTCAGAGCTAATCAAGCTGGCCTCCTTGAGCAGACAAGGATAGTGTTTGTCAACAAGAGAGGGACTGCTGGCATCCACGTGTGGGGTGTCCTCTCCCCACAGGTTAGAGGCTGAAAGGGCCCAGGGGCAGGAGGCCCAGAGGCTGCCACACTAGCCCCTCTCCATGCTTCAAGTGCAGGTGGTGGGTGGGAAGAGGGTGAGCGACCACTAGCCAAACCCAGAGAAGGGGGAGGCAGGATGTGGAAGGGGCAGCCTAGGTGGGTGGGGAGGATGGCTTCAGGGTCCCAAAGCCTGGATTCCAGTGCTGGCACTGCCGCTGGGGGGCGGTCGTGAGACTCTGAGCAGTCCCTTCCTTGGCTAATAGCACCGCATTCTCACACACTGTGTTATGGCAAAGACCAGAAGGATGATGTATGTGAAATGTGTTAAGTACGTGACTGACACACAGCAGGTGATCAGTATAATAAATGGCTGGAGCTACTGTTATTTTCTTTCTTTCTTTCTTTCTTTTTTAAATGGAGATACTGGGAATTGAACCCAGGGCCTTGTGAACACTAAGCATGCGCTCTACCACTGAGCTATACACTCCCACCCTGTGCTGTTGTTCTTAACGGCAGCTGGGAGGTTAGACCAGTTCTTGCCCCAAGCTCTCCCTGTATTCCCTGGAAGAGATGCCTAGTATTGGCTTCACAGTAGCCCATTTAGCAATCAGTCACTCAATGAACATGTGCTGGGAATCTGTGTGAGGAACTGTGGACCTCGAGGGGTGCAAGACCCAGGAACGGAACCCTGGGCTGGGCAGAGGACAGACGTGTAACAGATATGTAACAGACACATAACAGACATGTAAACGATTGATTACAAAGTGATGCATAAGAAAGATCATAGAAGTGTAGACAAAGTGCAACAGCTTACAGAGGTAGGGATGGGGAATGGGGGAGATAGGCTGGAGAGGCTTACCAGAGGTAGGGTTTTGAAGGAGGAATAGGAGTTTGTCAGAGAGCCAAGGTGTCCCAGGGTGGGGTGTCTAAGCTGAGAGGATCGAGCTCTATCCGTTCAGAGGACAATCTGGGAACTGAGTGTCACATGTCACGGGAACGGTGGGGAGATGAGGCTGGAGGCAGAGTGCAGCCACATCGTGAAGGGTCTGTCGTTATCTTGAGGACAGTGGGAAGTCTCTGAACGCTTTTCCCAGGTGACGGTCGTATGTGAGATTTAGATGGTTCTCGCAGACAGCCGAGACTCAATTTGCGGTGAGAGGGAGGAGAAAACAGTGTGGAGCTTAAATGTTTTCTTTGATCTTGATTTTTGATTTTGATCTTGAGATGCATTTCTAAGGCACCACGCAAGTAAACGGGAAAGCACTCTACAAATATTAGTTACTGTCGGTAATAACCCTGTCAGTAAACATGGTCTCAGAGGTCTTCTTTCCAGCGGGGATACAGCTGTGCCTCCAAGTCTGCGGACTTAGGGGGTGGAAGGAAACCTTGGAGAGTATTCTGTGCCCAGGCTAACGGGGCCCCTATCCCCCAGTGGGTGGGGAGTGCCCGCCTGCCTGGAGGCTCTGATGGGCAGCCTGAGGGCAGGCTGGGAAGGTCACAGTTCAGGCCCTGCTGTTAGGGGCCGAATACAGAACAGGCTCAGATGCCCAGTCTCTGAGCCCGATGGCGTGGCCGACTTACGGACCATCAGGCAACTCGCCACTTCTGGGCTGCTCTGCTCTGCATTCACCCCTCCCTCCCTAACCATCCCCTGCCCTGACACACCCACAGCAGCCCCGGCTCTGCCCTCCAGAACTCTGCAGAACAAGTTTCAGCCCCTTTGCCTGAGAGGCCTTCACTGTCTCTGAGTGATCCCGACCCATGGGAGTGACGGTTGCCAGCAGCCCAAAGGACTTTGGAACTCGGGGAAATTTACCTTGCATGTGCCCCTCTGCGCCCTGGTATTTGCATCAAGGCAAAATCTGGGTTAACATAGCACTAAGGGGCTCGGAGAATTCGGAGAATGGCAGTCAGAGAGTGGGTGGGGAAGGCAAGGGCAGGGGTTTGCCTTGTTTCCTAGTGGGCAGGGGGCATTACCTTCTCTCCCACCCACTGCCTGAAACACCTGCCACCCAGATCTGCCACCCCCCGGCAGCAAACCCTGTGCCAGCCCCCCAGGAGTCATGCAGAGTCTCCTGCTAAGCAGGCCAGCTCCTTTTAGAAGTAAGAAAATATCACTCAAGAGCATCAAAAACCTCAGCAGTGGGAGAGACCTGCATCTACATCAGGGCCCTGAGGACTAAAGAGGGGCTGTGACAAGCTCAAGGTCAAGGTCTTTGTTCCAATCAGTGATGCTGGAGGACAGGAGTCCAGGGCCCTGGCTTCTAGGCCTCCACACCACCCCACGCCACCCCACGCCAGCTAAGGACAAGACTGTCTTATTTCATCCTGTGGCCTCAGAGCCTGGTAGATTAGGTGCTCAGTGAATGAATGAGTTCTGGGATCATTTATGTAGCTGTTAATATGGACTTCTTTTCCCTGGAGAAAATAATCTGGATATGAGCATGGACCTGGAGGAGAATGGCTGGATCTGAATCCCAGCTCAGCCACTGACTGGCTGTGTGACTTTGGCCAAGTTACTTAACCTCTCTGTGCCTCAGTTTTATCATTCATAAAATAAGGGCAGTGCAGTACCTGCCTTATACAGATAAGGGTTAAATGAATTCACACTGGGTATGTAAAGCTCTTAGAATGGGGCCTGGAACACAGCATGCTCTATTTAAGAGTTTGTGACTATCATTTTTTCCCTTCCTCTCATTTTCATCAGGTGTCTTGCTTCTTTGCCTGAAGTCTGGGGTTCCTCCTTTCTCTTATGAAAGCTCACAGATGCAATTATGCCAGGTGTCCATGGGTGTGGAGGGATGAGGGCATCTGAGAAGCTGGCAGAAGAGAAGCAGGAACCTACAGTGAGTAGTGGCTGAGGCTTGTGGTTCCTAGGAAGCCACACAGCCTTGCCTCCTGGTCTTGCTCTGCGAGGTGGCCAGGCCTCCGAGGAGGTGGCTGCATGGTGGGTGTACCGGGGGAGGGCCCAGCCTCAGTAAGATCCCTGCTTCCCAAGCAAGAACAGAAACTGCAGGGGCTACCTGGGCTGGAACCGGGGATAGATGAGAAGGATCTCACTGGCACCTGGGCCAAACCGTATTGGAGCATATCTTGGAGTGGGTAAGATGTATGTGCCAGACCAGGGGCTGGCGCCTTGAGGTGGAATTAAGCAGGCTGGGGAAAATAAAGAAAGGCAGTGTTTTTTGTAGACCTGAACTTGGGACTCAGAATCAGACCCTGTGAGCGTGCAAACCAGGAGGGAGCATCCAGGGGCCTGTTTCTTTGGGTACAGGTGCCAAGTGATGCTGCCTGCGGTGCTACCTGGCTTGGCCTGAAGGCCCTCCATTCCCAGGGGCCCTGCTGGCCAAAGAGCACGGCATGGGTTTCCTAAATGAATGCGTAATTACTGGGCACCTCCCCAGACAAACAAAACCCGCTTCTACAGCCTTTCCCAACTCAGCCGATGGCAGCTCCATCCCTCCAGGTGCTCAGACTGAAAACCCAGAGTCATCCTCCAACTCCTCGTGTACCCATGTCTATTATAGCAGCTCCCCGGCTTCAGAGGATGCCTGCAATACCTTCTTACTCTCTGCTGCTCCCACCCCACTCCAAGCCTCCACTGCCTCTTATGTGGGTTCCTGCACAGCCTCCTAACTGGCCTCCCAGCACCTGCCTCTACCTGTTCTCCACCTGGCAGCCAAAGGGAGCCAGTTTAAACCTAGGCGAATCATCACTCCTCTATTTAAAACCTTTCACTGGCCAACAGTCTAAAGCCAAAGCCCTTCCTCAGCCTTCCAGGCCTCCTGGGTGTGGCTTCAGCCTCCAGGGCCTCGCCTACCATCCCCTCCCTGGGCGCCACCAAGAGGGCCACCTTGCTGATGCTCAAATGTGCCAGGCAGCTCCCCTCCTTCCCGCCTTAGCTTCTGTCACTCAGCAAGGCCTCCCACACCACCCTTTAAAACCACACCCCATCCCTCTCCCCTACTTGACTTACCTCTTTAGCACTCGCTGACTTCTGAGCACCCGCTACAACTTAACAGCTGCATTTTAAGTCTCCCCGGCTTGGAAGGCCAGGGATTTTCCTGTTTTGTTCATGGATACCCCCAGTTTTGGACCGCAGGATGTGAGCACAGCCCAGTTGGGGCAGGATCCGCTGATGACAACCGGCAGGGAGTCCTCCCGGGCAGTCCTCCCGGGTACCCGGATCAGCGGGAGACCAGCGGGGGCCCTACCTGCTCCACGGCGAGGTTGACCAGGTCGTAGCGGTGGGAGCGGCGCAGCGGCAGGCAGAAGCTGTAGAGCGCGTGCAGGGCGGCGCAGAAGAAGCTGAGCAGGCCGATCTGCTTGCGGTGCTGCAGCCAGTGGTCCAGCCAGTCGGGGAAGCGGCGGTACTTGGTGCCGCGGCGCAGCTGCAGGGCGGCCGCCAGCACGCCGGGCAGGTACACCAGCGACAGCAGCACGTAGGCCACGCACGGCAGCGTCATGTTGACCACGGACACGGGGAGCTTGTAGAACCTGTTCTTGCCCTGCTGCACGTAGGGCTGCAGAACATCCCGGACGAAGTTGTAGATGTAGAAGAAGACGAAGAGCCCCAGGGCCAGGAAGGCGGGCACCTTCCAGCCAGGGAGGAGGCGCAGGGGCATGGCCTCCAGCTCCCGGGCCGAGGCCAGGGACCCCATGTCCACGGGGGCGAAGCCCATGGCGCGTACCATCTCCAAGACAGTGCGCTTGGCTTCCAGCTGGTCACCGCAGATGGGCACCTGTGGGGAGGAACGAGGGGGGCGGATCAGATGGGGTTCCAGGCCGCAGGGGTGGGCGGGGCCTCAGAGCATCTGGGCCAAACTCCTCACTGAGCAGCCGCGGAAACTGAGGTCCAGTGATCTGCCAGGTAAGGGTAGAGCTAGAGCAGAAAGCGGCTCTGACTCCCCCTCCAGGGTCCTTTCCTGGCCCCTCTCCCCTCTCCTGTGGCCTCCTAGCCTCTGGCCCAGCAATGCCTGCTACTCGAGGAGAACGGCTGAGGCTCATCCAACAGTGGGCATCTTGCCCAGTGCATGGCCACCCGCACCCACAAGTGAACCGCCCATCTTGGCAGCCCTCAGGGGCCCGTGGAATAGGGTCTCGAGGACTATAGCCTGCCCTGGGGACTGCCCGGCCTCTGGGCTTTGTATATGGCCCATAATATGCAGCCATGGCTGCAGCTCCATCCCTCAGTCCAGAAGCGTCCCTTTGAATGATGTCCCTTGGCTCCCCACATCCCTCAGCCAAAATACAGGCCTTCTACAAGCCAGCCCCACCCTCATATTCCATGGCTCCCCACTCATCATGAGCACCCATGCCGGCCGACTGGTGTCCTCTGGGCTCCAAACACTCATGGGCCTTGCCGACATGGCTATGATCAGCTGCTCCACCAACTCTGACTTGCGCCCGCTACGCACCAAGCTTTACAAACATGTTCCCTCAGCCACGCCACAAGCCTGCAAGTACGTACTATTGCCCCATTTTTCAGGTGAAGAAACTAAAGTTTGGGAGCAGCATTCCTCACCTCTGTGCCTCTGCAGGTTGTCCCTTCATTTTGGAATGACCTTCCTGCTCCCTGTGCCTGATAACATGAGGTGGGACCAGGTCCAAGGCTCGAAGCCTTCCCTAGCCAACAGCTAGCTCTGTTCTTTCCAGGCCCTGCCACCCTACACTCACCCGCTGTCCCTTGCCTGTCCACATACGGGAGTCCCAAGATGCAGGCAGCACGGAGGGCCCTCCAGTGGGGTGGCTGGGCACCTGGGGGCTCTCCCACAGCCTGCCATGGAGCTGGGCAGAGGAGGCACCTGGGCCGGCCTCACTGGTGGAAGTTCTCATATACATGTGGAGCCTGGCATCCTTCCTCCAGGAAAATGCAGGTGGCCCCTTGGCATTAAAAACCACCTCGTCTTGGTCGGGTTTCCTCTCGCCAACAACTGTGTGCAGCTCTAGTTGTTTTCTGGAGCTATTTTCCACCCTCAGAAAAACCTGCTCTTGACTGTTCTTCAGTCCTTAGAAGCCCACGGAATAAATGAGATAAAGTTTGGAATGAAAAAGAATATGAAAAGGAATATATACATGTATATGTATGACTGAAACATTATGCTGTACACCAGAAATTGATGCGACATTGTGAACTGGCAATACTGCAATTAAAAAAAAATAATTGCAATATTAAACAATAGCAAACATTAAAAAAAATGAAATAAAGTTTGGGATATGCCTGCTTCCTTCGGTCTTGGCACATGAGTGTGTTACTTTCCTCTTTCTAAGTCCAATTCTAGAAGAAACATCTCTCCTCTTCTTGACTCCAGATAGTAAAAAGAAAGCCATTAACCTTTTCCTTCTTGCCCCCTAAGAAATCAAGTTACCACAGAAAACAGAACATGGATTTCAGATTCGTGTGAATCCAGCTGTGGTTTTTGGTGCAAGTCAGTCCATGAATATCTCTGAGCCTCAGTTTCCTGCTCTGTAAAATGGGACTTTGTGGTGATGTGAGATGAGCTGAGATATGTACATGAAGAGTTTGGAACAGCAAGAGCCCTCAATGAAAATGAGCCATTTACATTTACTGTTACGATGGTTGGCATTTGTCTAGCACCTACCTGCCTATTCCCATCCCTTGGGCCAGCCTGCAGGGTCCAGGCAGAGATGACATTGAAGGCCTTGACCACCGCGCAGGTGGGGAAGAGGGAGGCCAGGTACTCAGCATTGGACTCGTGGTTTCGCAGGTGCTCCTGCTCTGTGGGGTTGCTCACGTCCACCAGGATCTTGCCAGTCAGCTGGTCACTGAGGCCACACAGTGTGGAGTAGTGTTCCCGGAACATAGCCACAAAGATGACCTCTGGGGAGCCCACTGCCTCCTTCTGGAAAGTCACTCGTGCTGCTGAGGGGAAGAGCCCGGCTGTACGTTTGGGGTTGCGGCTCCCTACTACCACACTGAAGCCGGAGTCTACCAGGCGTGTGGCCAGGGAGCGGGCAAAATCCCCGCTGCCCAGGATTCCCACTTTGGGAACCTCAATGGGGGCCTCAGCAAGGCTGCCATCACTGTCCATCAGGTGGCGGCTGATCAGTGGCTTGTCCATCTTGCCTGATGCTTTGGTAGCTAGAAGAGAAAACAGGAACTTGATCAGCGGAGGGCTTTCTGAACTGCCCCTCCTACCTGCTCACTTTCTTGTCCATGAGAGCTGCGTCTTGGTCCAACATTCATCCAACAGGACTTCATGAGTGTTAACATGTGCCAGCACTGGGGGGTGGGGGTGGGGATGAAACAACCTGAGCAAGACCCACCCCTTCCTAAGGAGGGCACAGACTCCGGAAGAGGACAGGAAAGAACTGCCCTCCACCATTTATCCTCTGTCCTGAATTGTTACCTTGGGATAAATTCATGAGAGGGCTGAGAAAGAAGGATATGGACTTCCCATGATCTATGCAGTTTCATATTTCTTTTCAAAAGGATTACATGATGGCTGGTGCTACCATCCAGGAGTGACTCCAACCCTAGCATCACTAGGCTTATCGGATTACCAGGAAGGGCAGACATGTTGCTGCCCTTGTTTACATTTTGCATGTTGGAAGGTACCTCTGATGCTCTTCCTTAAGCAGATAATGAGCAGCTTAAAGGCAGGAACCTCATCTCATCTGACTTTGAATCTCACCATTGATCCTGAGGCTTCGCACAGACCTAGAGTTCAATGTTTGCTGAATGAATGAATGAATGAATGAATGAACACTGTAAGTCCTGCTCTCTGGGTGTAGGGCTGGAGAGAGACATGACAGTGAATGGGACCCTGAGATGGGGGAGGTACCCTGCGATCTTTACTGAGCCTGGAATATGAGTGGACATGGAGAAAACCTTGGACTTGGGCCAAAAGTTTAAAACTATGTTTTAATTGTCACCAATGTCTGACTAGAGTTTGTTATTTCCTTCAAGTATGAATGTAAGCCACAAAACAGTAGTATTAGCTTACCTGTGAGTTTGTCACCAGTAATGGCCAATGTCATATCACAGATTTCATTGTGAAAGAGCTCTCCAAATACTATTTAAACTCATCACTAATTTAAAATTATGGTAGATGGGATACATAAATACAGAAAGCGAATGTTAACAGAGCTGAAGGGAAAAACAGGCAGCAACATAGTAACAGTGGGCGATATCACTACCCCCCTTTCAACAATGGATATGACAGACAGAAAATCAGTATGGAAACATGGGACATACAGAGAACATTTCACCCAACAGCAGTAGAATACACATTCTCCTCCTGGTCACACAGAATATTCTCTAGGACAGATCATAGATTAGGTCATAAAACATATCGTAACAAATTTTAAAACACTGAAATCCTATCAAGTGTGTGTTTTTTTTTATGACCACGGTGGTATGAAACTAGAGATCAATAACAGGAGGAAGACTAGACAATTCACAAATACATGCAAATTAACACACTCCTGAACAACCAATGAGAAATCAAAATGGAGGTAAAACAACTACCTGAAACAAACAAAAACTGAAGTACAACCTACCAAAATGCATGGGATGCAGCAAAAGCAGCTCTAAGAGGGAAATTTATAGCTTAACACCAAAATGAAGAAATAAGAACGATCTCAAACAACCTAACTTTACACCTCAAAGGAGCTAGAAAAAGAACAACAAACTTAGTCCAAAGTCAACAGGAGGAAGGATATAACGAAGACCAGAGTGGAAGTAAGTGACATAGAGGCTAGAGAAACAACAGGAAAAAAAAAATCAACTAATCTTAAGACCTGGTTTTTTGAAAAGATAAACAAAATTGACAAATTTTTAGCTAGATTGACTAGGAAAAAAAAGAGAAAAGCCTCAAATACAATAAAAAAAATGAAAGAGACATTACAACTGCCACCACAAAAACACAAAAGATCATAAGAGACTATTATGAACAATTATATGACAACAAATAGCACAACCCAGAAGAAATGGATGCGTTCCTAAAAGCAATCTACCAAGACTGACTCGTGAAGAAATCAAGAATCTGAACAGGCCAGTAATGAGTAAGGAGACTGAGTCAGTAATAACAAAATCTCCCAACAAAAAGCTTAGGACTGGATGACTTCACTGGTGAATTCTATCAAACTTTTCCAGAAGAATTAATGCTAATCTTTGTCCCACTCTTCCAAAAAATTGAAGAGGAGGGAACACTTCCAAGCTCATTTTATGGGGCCAGCATTACCCTGATACCAAAGCCAGAGAAGAAACTACAAGAAAAGAAAATTACAGGACAATATCCTTGATGAACATGGATGCAAATATCCTCAACAAAATACTAGCAAATTGAATTCAACAGTACATTAAAAGGATCCTACACCATGATCAAGTGAGATTTATCCTTAGGATACAAGGATGATTCAATACACACAAACCAATAAATGTGAGACACCACACTTAGCAGAATGAGGGATGAAAAGAATATGATCATCTCAACAGATGTAGAAAAAACATTTAACAAAGTTAAACATCCTTTCACGATAAAAACTCTCAATATATTAGGTATAGAACTAGGAATGTACTTCAGTATAATAAAGGACATATATGACAAGTTCACACCTAACATCGCACTCAGTGATGAGAAGCTGAAAGGCTGCTTGTCAGGAACAAGATAAGCAGGCCCACTGTGGCCACTTCTATTCAACATAGAACTGGCAGTCCTAGCCAGAGCAATCAGGCAAGAAAAAGAACAAAAGGCATCCAAACTGGAAAGGAAGAAGTAAAACTGTCTTTGTTTGCAGGTGACATGATCTTAAATATAGAAAACTCTAAAGACTCCACTAAAAACTGTTAAAACTAAGCAATTAATCCAGTAAAGAAAGCTGCAGGATAGAAAATCAACAAACAAAAGTTAGTTGTTTTTATATACCAACAATGAACTAGCTGAGAAAGAATTAAGAAAACAATCCCATCACAATACAATCAAAAAGAATAAAATATTTGGGAATAAATTTAACTAAGAAGGTGAAAGATCTGTACACTAAAAACTATGAAACACTGATGAAAGAAATCAAAGAAGACACAAATAAATGGAAAGACATCCAGATTCAAATCAATCTGTATAAAAGGCATTTTTCACAGATATAGAAAAAAACAATTCTAAGAGCCATGTGGAACCACAAAAGACCCCAAATAGCTAAAGCATTCTTGAGCAAGAAGAACCAAGCTGGAGGTACCATATCTACTGATTTCAAATTATATTATAAAGCTTTAGTAATCAAAACAATATGGTACTCCAAACAAAAATATCACACACAAAAAGAGAAAATTATAGGCCAGTATCACTTATGAATATAAATGCAAAAATCACAACAAAATATTAGCAAATCAACTCCAACAATGCATTGAAAAGATCATACAGCATGATTAAGTGGGATTTATCCCAGGGGTGTAAGGGTTTTTCAATATTCGCAAATCAATCAATGTGATACATCACATTAACAAATTGAAGAATAAAAACCATATGATCATTTCAATAGATGCAGAAAAAGCTTTTGACAAAATTCAATATCCATTTATTATAAAAACTCTTCAGAAAGTGGGCATAGACAGAACATACCTCAACATAATAAAGGCCAAATATGACAGAATCACAGCTAACATCATACTTAATGGTGAAAAGCTGAAAGCATTTCCTCTAAGATCAGGAACAAGAAAAGGATGCCCACTCTCGCCACTTTTATTCAGCACAGGTTTGGAAGTCCTAGCCATAGCAATCAGAGATGAAAAAGAAATAAAGGGAATCCAAATCAGAAAAGAAAACTGTCATTGTTTACAGATGACATGACACTATACATAGAAAAACCTAAAGAAGCGACCAGAAAACTACTAGAGCTCATCACTGAATTTGGTAAAGTGGCAGAATACAAAATTAATATATGGAAATCAGTTGCATTTCTATACAATAACAATGAAATAGCAGAAAAAGAAATTAAGGAGACAATCCCATTCACTATCACACCAGAAAGAATAAAATACCTAGGAATAAACCTACCCTAGGAGGTAAAGGACCTGTACTCCCAAAACTATAAGACACTGATGAAAGAAATTGAAGATGACATAAACAGATGGAAAGATACATCACATTCTTGGATTGGAAGAATCAATATTGTTAAATGGCCATACCATTCAAGGCGATATACACATTCAATCCAATCCCTATCAAATTACCAGTGAGATTTTTCACAGAGCTGGAATAAAAAATGTTAAACTTTGTATGGAAACACAAAAGACCCCAAAGAGCCTAAACAGTCTTGAAAAAGGAGAATGGAGATGGAGGAGTCATATGCCTTGACTTCAGACTATACTACAAAGCTACAGTAATCAAAACAGTATGGTACCAGCACAAAAACAGACACGTAGACCAATGGAACAGGATAGAAAGTCCAGAAATAAACCCACGCACTTATGGTCAGTTACTCTGCAACAAAGGAAGCAAAAATATGCAATGGAGAAAAGACAGTCTCTTCAATAAGTGGTCCTGGGAAAACTGGACAGCTCCCTGTAAAAGAATGAAATTAGAACATTCTCTAGCACCGTATACAAAAATAAACTCAAAACGGATTGAAGACCTAAATGTAAGACCAGATACTATAAAACTAGAGGAAAACATAGGCAGAACACTCTTGGACATAAATCACAACAATATTTTTTTCAAACCAGCTCCTAGAGTAATGGAAATAAAAGCAAAAATGAGCAAGTGGGACCAAATTAAACTTAAAAGTTTTTGCACAGCTAAGAATACTATCAACAGAACAAAAAGACAAGTTACAAAATGGGAAAAAATATTCGCAAATGATGTGACCGATGAGAGACTGATTTCCAAAATACACAAATAGCTCATTCAGCTTAAGAGCAAAAAAACAAGCAATCCAATCAAAAAATGAGCAGAAGACCTAAATACACATCTCTCCAAAGAAGACATCCAGATGGCTAACAGGCACATGAAAAGATGCTCAACATCACTAATTGTTAGAGAAATGCAAATCAAAACTACAATGAGATATCACCTCACACCGGTCAGAATGGCCATCATTAAAAAGTCCACAAACGATAAATGCTGGAGAGGCTGTGGAGAAAAG